ATGTTAACCAATTTTCATTTCAAAACATTTACTTAATGCATTCAAGAATTTTCGCATCTTTCTTTTCTTTCTTTTCTTCTTTTCCTTATTGTTTTCCAGCAATGAATCGTTGTTTTCATGTTTTCCCCCTTTTCCGCCATTGCATTGCCCGTTGTTTATCTCTTAGCTTCAAAAACTCATGGCTCATTTTAAAAAAATGCAAACGTTGCACTTATTTTAGTTTTTTGATTAGTTTTTTATCGTTTATGTCTTAAAAAAATTGCATTCATAATAATATTTATAAGCAAGAGAGTATTTGTGTCTCTGTCTGTTTTACTTTCTGTCTGTTCACGTGGCCGAGTGAGCGTGAGCGTGGTCGAGTAGTCTAAGGCGCTGTGTCAGTCTGGCGCCAAAGAGGGGTTTGGTTCGAGTCCCCTCTGCAATGCTGGAGTCTTTTTTGATCCTTTTGAACAATAGAAATTGTAATTAGAATTAAGAAATTGTAATTAGACTTAAGGGATTGTAATTGAATTCCATCAAACTAAAATTTCGATTGGAAAAATAGATTAAAGGGGGGGTATTAATCGCGGCCGGGTGACGATAAAAATTTTTTTACGGCAACCACCTGTTTTTTTATTTTAATATCGCTGATTTTATTATAAAAAAGAATAAAAATCACCCGGCTAGAGTGATTTGATGGGTTTACAAATTTTTGGAGACACTGCAAGGCTTGGAGAAAAACAAGATCGTCACTCATCACACACCTCAGCACAGTCTAGATCGATTGAATTTTAATTGCAGATAAATTTAAAAACAAAATAAAAAGCACAAAAAACAATAAAAATAAATTGTTAATCTATAATTCTTCCTCTTGCTCACTTTCATCTTCGCTCAAGTACAGCAGTTCCTCAAATCGGCTTCCTATCTTATCAATTTCCAGCGCAGCTTCACCAGAAGTGACTGAATCTCCTCCACCGTAGGACATCTTCAGCGCTTTGATTGACACAATTAGATCTTTTTTCCATTTGTGGTCGCTTGTGGTTTTAGTTTCCTCAAATAGGTGCCTTTTAGCTGAGGTGTCTGATGAGTGACGATCTTGTTTTTCTCCAAGCCTTGCAGTGTCTCCAAAAATTTGTAAATCCATCAAATCACTCTAGCCGGGTGATTTTTATTCTTTTTATAATAAAATCAGCGATATTAAAATAAAAAAACAGGTGGTTGCCGTAAAAAAATTTTTATCGTCACCCGGCCCCGCGATTAATACCCCTCCCCCCTCCCTCCCTCCCTCCCCCCCCCTTTAAGGCCAATCTTGCGTTAAGCGAAAATCGATTTGTAATGTTTGTGGACATTTTTTGAGAAAAATTTGATTGATTTAACATTAACTAGAAGTTAAAAACTAAAAAAACTACAACTTATAAAAGGGAAAAACTATGATCCATCCTTAATCATTCAACATCTAGCTAAAATTTGATATTTGATTAAATTGCTTTGACATTAATTAGAAATTAAATTGATTTAACATTAGCTAGAGAATTAAATTAAGTTAACATTAATTAAAAATTAAAAAAAGCTTTTGAGAAAGGTGCAAAAATATCTACCACGGAAAGGATTCGAACCCGCGGCAAAAAGTGAGATAGGTTTCGTGGACGTCCTCGCTATCCACTAGACTAGTGGAGCGCTAGCACCGGGGAGCGCTTGAGGCCACTTAACCTCGCGCGCCCGCTTCTCGAGTAGATGCCCAAACTTGCAACGCTTTTTTCTCGAAAACTAGGGCTTCTTGGCAAAATCCGAAAGCGCCATCGTGATCACCGAATTCGACTTGTCTTTGCATCGTATTTTGGTGTCAAAATCTCATGACCACTTCTGGATATTCTTTTGTAAGTCTTTAAACTTTTTATTAGTCAATTGGTGTTGCATCGATCGAAATAGGTAATAATCTGAAGGGCTATATAGGGCTAAGTACGTAGTACTTCTCGTTTCCCTTTCGATTTCCGTTTCTCTCAAATGATTGACTCGATGATAGGTAATAATCTGAAAGGCTATATAGGGCTGAAGGGCTAAGTAAGCGCTATATAGCGGGTGTGGAAGAGATTCCCAGCCCAACTCCTCAATTTTTTTGGGCGAGCTCAAATCTTTGCGGTGTGCGGGCAAGCGTTACCCTGAAGGTATTGTATCCGGATTGATTTTCCTTGCTTGTACAGTAAACAGACACAGTACAGTAAATTCGATACGTTGACTCACTCATTCTGTAAAGAACTCTAAAAACGGATTTCAAACGGATTTCAATATAACGGATTTCATTTTAAACGGATTTCAATATAATGAATGAAAAGAAAAGAGTGCCAATAACCAATCTTATAAAAAACAGAATCATAAGTCTATTAGAAACCGAGATTTCACAATGATAAGACAGGAGAGATTTCGATATTGCCAACCTAATCCAAATATTCAATCAATTTTCAGCTTTCAGCTGTTCAAAATTGTCCTTTGTTCGTTCTCGCTTGAGCCCATCGAACACTAGGCTCTATTTTTGACTCCCAGGCAAAAATCAAATCGATTAGGCGATAAAATTGGGAAAGCTATGGGTGGATAAAGAAAAGATTTGCTGAGAAAAGGTTTGCTGAGAAAAGAATTTATGTGGAAAAGAACACGAGTGGGGCATGTGAGTGAAGGGGATCCCGTCCACCCATCCCCATCGACAGGGTCAGCTGCTGTCCACCTCAACCATTGCCCGGGTGCTTCTTTTAAGTATGAAACTGAGATTTTCCGCTTTCTCTCAAATCCCTTATGCCCCTCTTTACCCATGTTTTCTTCTCCACCCTCTCTACCGGATGTGTCTGTCTGTTCACATTTTCCGCACACTTCACGTTACGTTAGCATCCAACTCTTAGCTGACATCCATCAGTTAGTTTTGATTTCACATTTCTTAGAAAAATATTGATCTTTTTCTGTGAAAGGTATCGTTTTTACTTTTCAATTTAGTAAATAACTGCTTAAAGTTACTGCTGCTTGATCTGCTTGATCAAAACAACCTTGAACTCGTAAAGTTGATTGTTTAGTTGCGAAGTCTGGACTTGAAATTGAATTGATATCTTAATTAGAATCGGATATCTTCAATATTACCAATTTTAACATATTCGCGACACTTTAAGCAACAATCAGAACATTTAAGTTGACGGTATTCATAGTCAGGTCAAAAAAGCCCAGGCCAAGCCCATCAAATCCGGATCTAAGTTGGCTTTTGGATCTAATCAAACCCGTCAAATCCTGAGCTAATCAAGTCTAAAGCTTGATCGGTTAAGTACGAAGATTTGCCGAAGACGAAGACAGTTAAAGCTTCTAAAGCTTGAGTTAAAGCTTCTAAAGCTTCTAAAGCTACAGTTAAAGCTTCTAAATCTACAGTTAAAGCTTCTAAAGCTTCAGTTAAAGCTTCTGAAGGTTCTAAAGCTTCAGTTAAAGCTTCTAAAGCTTCTAAAGCTTGAGTTAAAGCTTCTAAAGCTTCTAAAGCTACAGTTAAAGCTTCTAAATCTACAGTTAAAGCTTCTAAAGCTTCAGTTAAAGCTTCTAAAGCTTCTAAAGCTTCATTTAAAGCTTCTAAATCTACAGTTAAAGCTTCTAAAGCTTCCAAAGCCTCATTTAAAGCTTCTAAACAATTTTTCTACACTTGTTTTCTTTTGTTTGAAGAATTTTTCAAGTTTAGAAGATGTTTTAACACATTACGACCCACCGGTGAGTCGTACGTGGATTTAACACTTTTTTGAGGCCGTTTTGGCTGAAATTTTGCTTTTCGAGGACAAGGAATTCGAATTTGTTATCAGTTTTTAAAGAAAACAGCTTTATTTTTGGAGATTTCATTTGTTTTAATCATTCAAGTGCAACCCCAGCTCCAGGATCGTGCCAGAACATGAAAATTTTCATTTTTACGTAATCGCGCGGTTTAGATAAAGAAAAAAACCTGGATAAAGAAAAAACCCAAATTCAGTAGCCTCTTTCCCTCCAATTTAGTTTAATTACCCAAGTTTTAGAGTTTTGTGATCACTGTATTGGCTTGGAAATTAAAATTGCTCAAAAAATAATAACGGATTCAGATTCTCCATTTCCAGAATGCTTTTGGTTATAAATTTTCAAATCTACAGCTAACAGCTGTCGTCCAAAACGGCAGTCAAACCAAAAATGACTTTGTCGTGAATGTGCTAATGAGAAGATCCAAAGCCAAAGCGAATATTCAGGTGCTGTGAACGTGCTTCTCGTTACGCTGCGTCATGACGAAATTTTGAGAATATCTTTTCAAATCTACAGCTTAAATAGACAACCCAAAATAGCAGCCAAGCAAAGAATGACGAATTCTTAAAATTCATTCAATCAAAATGCCAAAATTCATTCATTCATTTGATCCCTAAAGCTCAAACTGTTGATCGAAACCTCTAAACAAATTCGCTTCTCGTTTCCCTTTCGATTTCCGTTTCTCTCGAATGATTGACTCATGAAAAAAAGATAAACCTTGCCCTGACCCCTGTTTATCAGCGAAAATCAAAATCGCGAAAAAATAGCTTTTTTCAGAGCGGAAAGCTCTGAAGCCCGTCAATTATTATTTTATAACCCGGATGCTTATTTTGGTCACATAGTTTGTCGATTAGTTTGTCGATTAGTTTCTTGATTAGTTTCTTGATTAGTTTGTCGATTAGCTTGTCGATTAGTTTGTCGGTTAGTTTGTTGATTAGTTTGTTGATTAGTTTGTTGATTAGTTTCTTGATTGGTTTGTTGATTAGTTTGTCGATTAGTTTGTCAGTTAGTTTGTCGATTAGTTTGTCGGTTAGTTTGTCGATTAGTTTGTCCATTAGTTTGTCGATTAGTTTGTCGATTAGTTTGTCGGTTACCCCAATTCAATACTTTTTTCACAACTTTATTTATTGTTCTTGTTTTCATAATTGTTTTCTACTTAATATTCTTCTTAAATTTCAGTTATTTTCTTCTTCATTTTCAGCTATTTTCATCTTAAATTTCAGTTATTTCATTGTGTGATGTTCTGGGGGTCCGCCCTTCAAAAGCGGACCCCACCACTCCGAGCGCCTCTTCAGAGGATTACGAGGGGTGAGTTGTAATTGTAATAATATAACTGCGCCGATGCTGAAGTCGAAATTTGGACATTTCCTTTATTTTGTCGTTTTTTTTCTTCTTTAAAACTTATATGACATCCAGATTAGCGTTTGGTTTTTAAAAAAACAAAGTTTGAATTTAAAAATCCGTCCAAAACCCCTCAAAGTCTACGGCTCAATAATCGACTTTTTGAGAAATGAGTCAGAGCCAGGCTAGGTCAGAGCAGAGCCAGAACTCAGCTCCAGCTCTTGCTTCTGGTGAGACCAGGGATCTTTCCGGACACGCCGGTCCTTTTATGGATTGAAGCTGAGATCACAAAAAGATTACGCGCTCGGAGTCGAATCCGCGACCTCTTACTGGGCAAACGCTCTACCAATGAGCTACACCAACAGCCCATTGCCATTGCTGTAGCCCATTGCGGCCAGAATATGGCTTTATGCCACAGTCCAAGTCAGAAAATGCTCCAACTAATTTTGAATTACAAAAAACTACAGTTTTGTCCTCAGGTTTCAACAATTGTCTGCACAACGCCTTTGCGAGAATCGGGTTCTCGATCGGATCTCATCCTGTGCTTTTCTTTCTCCTTTTTCTCATTCTTCTCTCATTCTCGGCGGGCATCTTTCGATTGCGATTCTCGACGAAATTACAGGTAATTTGGAATTGATGTGCTTTAGATTCAATTTTCATATTCAATAGATGAAAATGACTGATTTTCCTTTGACTCTTACTGAGTTAGACTTTATTTAGTGAACAAAGGTAAACAGTTTAAGATAAACAAACTAGATAGAGTTCTAGATCCCCAGTTCTAGATCCCCAGTTCTAGATCCCCAGTTCTAGATCCCCAGTTCTAGATCCCCAGTTCTAGATCCCCAGTTCTAGATCACCAGTTCTAGATCCCCAGTTCTAGATCACCAGTTCTAGATCACCAGTTCTAAAGCCCCAGCTCTAGATCCCCAGTTCTAGATCCCCAGTTCTAGATCCCCAGTTCTAGATCACCAGTTCTAAAGCCCCAGTTCTAGATCCCCAGTTCTAGATCACCAGTTCTAGATCACCAGTTCTAAAGCCCCAGCTCTAGATCCCCAGTTCTAGATCACCAGTTCTAGATCACCAGTTCTAGATCCCCAGTTCTAGATCACCAGTTCTAGATCACCAGTTCTAAAGCCCCAGCTCTAGATCCCCAGTTCTAGATCACCAGTTCTAGATCACCAGTTCTAGATCACCAGTTCTAGATCACCAGTTCTAGATCACCAGTTCTAGATCACCAGTTCTAGATCACCAGTTCTAGATCACCAGTTCTAGATCACCAGTTCTAAAGTCCCAGTTCTAGATCACCAGTTCTAGATCCCCAGTTCTAGATCCCCAGTTTTAGATCCCCAGTTCTAGATCCCCAGTTCTAGATCACCAGTTCTAGATCACCAGTTCTAGATCCCCAGTTCTAGATCCCCAGTTTAATTTTAATTTTATTAAAGGGGTTTAATTTTATTAAACTATTTTATTGTACTACTTTATTGAACTATTTTATTGAACTATTATATTTTGCCGTAAAGTTCAAAGTTAAAATCCCTGTTTCATTTCATTTCTATTTCTAGTACGGGTTTATTTCGACGCGAGCTCGAGCGATAGCCGAGCAACGGGTGCACGATGAATTCCACGGGCACAACAATGATCACTTTCAACATTTCATTGTGTCGATTCAGAGGAGAGATCACGGGAATCTACTGAATGTCAACGATTTGAATACAGTTTTGGAGGTTGGTTCGAGAAAATGGGGGAAATGGGAATTGTAGGGTTGGCAAAAAAGCCAATTTCAACGCTAGTCAAAGTCAAGGCTTTTCAATCATGGCTCAGGATTGGATTTGACCAATTTGATACTAGATTTAGCCTTGCCTAAAGCCTAAAACCTTGAAGAATCTTGATCTTAGCCGGCTTGGCCTAGAAATTTGCACCAATGAACAGCACCAATGAACCAAATGGTTCATTTGACCAAAAGTGTACTTTACACTGAATGAAAAACACACTTTCTGGCACTGAATGTAATTTTGAGACTGTAAAAAGTCACTTGCCAGCTATTCAAAGATTCTACTTGCATTTTTGAAGTCAATTTACATTAATGTACATCAATTTGCATCAATTTGTATCTATTTACATCAGATTTACATCAGATTTACATGAATTTACATGAATTTACATGAATTTACATCAGTTTACCTCAATTTACATCAATTTGCATCAATTTACATCAGATTTGCATCAATTTACATCAATTTACATCAATTTACCTCAATTTACATCAATTTACATCAATTTACCTCAATTTACATCAATTTACATCAGATTTACATAAATTTGCATCAATTTACATCAGATTTACATAAATTTGCATCAATTTACATCAGATTTACATAAATTTGCATCAATTTACATCAATTTACATCAATTTACATCAATTTACCTCAATTTACATCAGATTTACATAAATTTGCATCAATTTACATCAGATTTACATCAATTTACATCAATTTACATCAGATTTACATCAATTTACATCAATTTGCATCAATTTTTACATCAGATTTCATCTACAGATCGAAGAATTCATCTCAAAAACGTTTTCCGTTTTCCACAATGGTCATGAGTTTGTGCACAAAGATTTATGTCGAGATCGATGTCAATCGAATCAATTGCTCTACATGTTCAAGGTTTTTCAGTTTAAATTCAAGAAAAAAACAAACATCCTCCTAGAAAATCATTGACGAGGTCGAGACGGAAAATGTTTTAATCGATCATCCAAAGAGTCGATACAATGATGCAAAGTTCTTGGTCGCCCACCATTTGCACGGAGTTCGCAGAAAAGATGAAGAGGTTTGTGAAAAGGTTTTAAAACCTAAAAAGACATTGTAAATACTTTAATAGAATGCCACTTGCTCGTACAGTCCTCAGTTAGAAAATCATTTCTTTCTCGGCCCCTAGATTTTTCCCAACTACACGTTTGGTACTAAAAAATACTAGATTTCAAGCGCTATCATTTGACACCCAAGCGCACACTGTAGCTTAAAGCAGCGTGGAGAACGGGACGTTTAAAGTTAGACTACACGACTGTACGCCCATCATTACGTGGCGTTCTATTAGCGCATTTACGGTAATCATCCTGTGAAAGCTTATTCTTGTAGCTGATCAAGATCAGGATTTACAAGGGATGGTCAACTGGCTTATGAAAGCTGGCTTATGGTCAACTGGCTTCTGAAAATCATTTATGAAAAGTCACTTATTGCGCGCGCACAAAGAACATTAGTCAGTTCTTGAAAAAGCAAAAGAAAAATCAAAGCTAGGATTGAACTCGTGAGGTCTCGCTCTGGAAGCGAACGCCCTACCACTCGACCAAGCCCGCACCAAGCCCTGTCCGCAAAGAGACCGTTAAGATGAGAGGCACCGAATCCAGCACGCAAGGAGACCGTTAAGATCCAAATGACCGCAAAGAGGCTGCTAAGACCCAAATGACACAGAGTCCTAAGAAAACAGACAAAACAAAACTTAGACGCTTAAAACTCGTGACAGATTGTCATTAGGAAAATCAGCATAAAAAATCAGCATATATTCGGAATCAGCATAAAATTCTGCATCGAACGGGATCGATTGCATAGCATTTGGCTGGCTCAGCCAGTTGAACTTTCCTTGTTTGTATCAGGGCAATGAGTTTAATAACAAATCTAGTTATTGGAGTTTATCTAACGGATCTAGTTATTAGACTGAGTTTGTCAGATGTCGGCTTCCGATGTCCGATGTCAGATCCTAGATCTGTCCTGGTCCTAGATGTCCTAGATGTCGCAAAATTTCACCTTAGTACCTAGATCTAGGTTCCAGAGCTAAATTCATCCCTAGTATCTGGATTTGTTCATCTAATAGCCTGGTAATCACTAAAGAAATAAGACTCTGCAAAATTTGGACAAGTTTCGCATTGAAAGTAAGAACGTACTCTAGAAATCGGTTTTAAAAAAAGGTGGAAGCTTTAAAAAAATGCAATTTCAACATTACTTCAATTGTGAAATCGATGAAATGGTCATTTTTAGGAGCTAATCCCGTACAATACCCCGCTGATGCGATCAAATAAAACGAAGCTGTCGAAAATCGAAATGATCAGTCTCTATTACGAGGTGATTTAGATATTATATTGTTTATTTTTATTGTTATTATTATTATTATTATTATTATTATTATTATTATTATTATTAGTATTAATACTTTGATTTTTGATTCTCATTTTAAAATTCCCCGTTTATCACTTCTTGAATCAGGGTTTTTTTAGGCTCCACTCGAATCCCCGGATGCCCTGTCAATCATTACCGAATGGGAGACGGGCCTCATGAAATGGTCACAGATACAGAGTGATTTCCCCGATTTCTCGATCGATGTCATGGGAGATAAGGTAAAGGGCAAAGTATTGAAAAATCATGAAAGATTGGAAGAAGCATTGGAAAATTTGGAAGAATTTGGGGGACTTCTTGCAGGGGGGTGAAAGAATTCATTGAACTCAGAAATTACTTGAATTGTTGCGGTTTAAAGAACAGATTTATCTAACAGTTTATAATAAAGAATAGATTTATCTCGCATTTTTTAACCTTAGATAGATCTAGTTGATGTCAACCATGCCGGTAAACAAGTTTACCAACTTTATGATGCAAGTCCACTTGATACTGGGTAAGTTAGATTGAGAAGTAGATTGTTAGTTAGAGAAGTAGCTTGTTAGATTGAGAAGTAGCTTGTTAGATTGATAAGTTGATAGTTAGCTTGAGAAATTAGCTAGCTATAAGGTTGAGTACCAGGTGTTGATATTAGACCTGCATAACGAGTCCGGGCAAACTGCCTCGCTCTTCGATTTTTATTGCCCAAAGCTCTTTCGAGCAAGAAACCCAATTCCCCCCGCAAGCCCTTATTCTAAGCTTCATTTTAATACTAAACATGGCTAGGTTCTATTTTGTTATTCCTTAGATTTCGATCAATCTTTCTTGATAAGCTTGACAAGTCCAGAAACTTCTTTATTTAAAATGATCGAAATCTAAGGAATGACAAAACAGAACCTAGCCATGTTTAGTATTAAAATGAAGCTTAGAATAAGGGCTTGCGGGGGAATTGGGTTTCTTGCTCGAAAGAGCTTTGGGTAATAAGAAATCGAAGAGCGAGGCAGACTGTCTGAAAATTTTGATTCGTTAGTTGATCTGGCTTACTCTTTGCTGTTTTTAGAAACAACTAGTGCTTCAATTCACTTAAATTTTTCTAACTTCAATTAACTTACATTTAAAAGTTCTATAGATCTTCTAAAAGTGCTTTTATTTGGAAATACTTTTGTTTTTTTGGCTTTTCATAGAGAAAGAAGTTGAGAGAAGCAGAAAAGGGCTAATATTTGATCAATTTTAGCACTTTTCTTTAAAGAAACCTATTTTGATACCAAAAAACAAAAGATAAAGCACAAAAAGTTACGATTATAACCAAAATTTCAGCTTAATTTGTCAAAGCAGTTTTTATTGTTTTGAACATTTAACGAATTTTCGACAAAACACGAATTTCTGCTCAAATCTGGCTTAAAATACATCCAAATTTGTTGAAAAAGATGTAAAATAAGACAATGAATAAGTTATATTTGATGAAAAGACAATAAACAGCTTTTACTTGATGAAAACAGTGGCAAAAGTAGCCGTTAGCACGTTAGTACGTTAGTACGTTAGTACGTTAGTTAGACAAAAAATAGTACTCAATCTAATAGATAAAATGAATCAGATTTTCTAACAATTATTTCTAGTATCACATTCAAAAATGATCCAAGTATTGAGCTAAAATCTATATGTCAAAACTCTTTCAGGCATTGGGCCAAGAGATGCAACGTGGTGGAATGACCCTCATCCCCCATATGGCCATCGGTTTCATGCTCACTCTAATCTTTGTCACCATCACTGTCACCAAAAAGATCAACGCTGGGATCAAGGATGTGATTCCTGTAACGATCATTGTCATCGGTGAATGATAACGATCAATATAAAACGATCAATATATAGCGATCAATATCTAACGATCAATATATAATGATCAATATCTAACGATCAAACTATAAGGATCAATATATAGCGATCAATATAACGATCAATATATAGCGATCAATATCTAACGATCAGTATATAACGATCAATATATAACGATCAATATCCAACGATCAATATATAGCGATCAATATCTAACGATCAATATATAATGATCAATATCTAACGATCAATATATAACGATCAATATATAACGATCAATATAACGATCAATATATAGCGATCAATATCTAACGATCAATATAACGATCAATATAAAACGATCAAGATCTAACGATCAATATATAAGGATCAATATCTAACGATCAGTATATAACGATCAATATCTAACGATCAAGATAACGATCAATATAAAACGATCAAGATCTAACGATCAATATATAACGATCAATATCTAACGATCAAATTCAGGTGTGCTCTTGGCTCCAATCGGTGCCGTTCTTTTCACTTTTGGGATCACTGGATGGTTGTACATTGAGATTTACCCAATTCTCATCGTTCTACCAACTCTTGTCATATCTATCGGTTAGTGGGAATGGAAATTTGTAATTGTAAAATGCAAGGTTTAGGCGTTGATGACGCTTTCTTGGCGCTTCATTGTTGGAGTAACTCGATGTTGGAGTTGGATAAGATGAAACAAGAGAATCACTTGGAAGCGATTCCAGCATTGTTATCAAAGGTAGCGTCATTAGATCGCTTGCATTGTATGAATGAGTGTTTCTGTGTGATTAAAATCGCTAGCATCAGACTGAATAGCTTTGCTTTGGCTAAAGTAATCGAAATTGAGTAATCGATCGAATGAGAAATCGAAAAATATCGATTACTCAATCGATATCTTTCAGTCGATTGCTGTAGTAAGCCAATAGATTTAGACTGTAAAGTTTTCTGAAACGATTTCTCCGTTACTTGTTTAGGTCCTCGTCGAAGTGGGTCCCTCAATGTTGCTCACCTCGTTGACCAACTGCATGGCTTTTGCCGTCGGCGCCTTCTTCGCACCACCAGCAATTCAGGTGATCTTAAAGCTAGAAACAGCAGAAGCAAAAGACGCAGTAGACGCAGCAGAAGACGCTGGGGAAAAGCACTTTATCAATTAACCAAGGGGGCAACTTCAACTTCTCGCCGCAGTGCAGTCGGGAGCCCCAGTTCCCGGTTCGACCCCCCGTAGTGCCATTCAGTTTTAATTTCTGAATCTTTGATTCTAAATGGAAAACTATATTAGATTTTGAGACTTTCCAAAGAATTTCATTTTTTTTGGCTCAAAGACGGCTGAGAAAATGGCGAACAGACGGACAGACACTGCTCTTTTATATATGTCGTAACCGATTATGAATGAGTTGGTCTAGGCGCGTCCAACTATCAAGTATTTAGTATCATTCAACGCAGGATCATTGATAATTATGTTAAATTTTTTAAATTAGAAAGATTGGATAAAAAGAAAAAAAATTACAGGGCTTCAAAGTTTTCTCTCGAACAAACAGTTTTTTTGCTCTAATTTTTTTTCTTTTTATCAAATCTTGCTAATTTTAAAAATTTAACATAATTATCAATGATTCTACGTTGAATGATACCAAGCACTTGATGTTTGGACGCCCCTAGACCCACTCGTTCATCATCGGCTACGGGGATCCCGTGGATTTTTGAATGAAACATTGTAGCGCCCGCAATTTTTAACCTAAACTCACAAATTTGGTGCCAATCAACGCAGAATTTCATTCGCTACAAAATTATATAATACTGTCTTCATACATTAAAGGGTTACTCCATCAGAAAGGCTTGCCAAAAAAAATTTGCAAGATCACGCTGATTTTTGAATGAAACATTGTAGCGCCCGCAATTTTTAACCTAAACTCACTGTGAAAACTTATTCTCTCTCATAGTAGTGCACCTTGAGCGTTGCCTAAATTGCTCGAAATCTCGAGAGCAGTTTATCAGAACCTATCGATGTGGGGTCGGAAAATGTAGCTGACGATGAGATCTTGTGGGGGATTAGAGTGTTGAGCTACTGCAAAAGCTTGGAAACCTTAAAATAGTGATCAACTCGGCTCGACCGAGTGCACTACTATTAGGGAAAAGACGGTAATTACAGACTGAATATCCGTAAATATATTTTAGGTCTTCTCGATTGTGGCCGCCATTGCCATGCTTGCCGATTTCGTCTTCGAGATCGTCTGTTTCTGCAGTCTTCTCGCGTTGTCGGGTCGTTTCTATAAAGTAGGTTCAAGGGTACTCGAAATTGACAGAATGCCATAAAACTTCTAAAGTATTCAACCAATAGAACTTCATTCAATTATTCCTCCATCAGGGCTTGTTGTAGTTGGGAAATGCGCGGAGAGCGCGCTCAAGAATTGGTACAAAGCATTCAGATTGTTTCCATTTGTTTCCATGGTGCAGTTTTTGGCTAAATTGTAGGTTAAACCAGCTGAAAAACTTGGTTAACCGCGGGTTTTTCGGTCAGCGGATTCTGTCGCCGTGGCGCAGTGGGGTGCGTGCTTGTCTTCGGCCCATACGACCCGGTTTCGACCGCTCCTAGTGCCACTTAGTCCTAACTTCTTAGAAGTTCTAACTGGCTAAACGGCCAGTTAAACGGCTCAGTTCTAATTGGCCAAACGGCCCACAGGACCCGGGTTCGACTCCCGGTAGTGCCAGTTGGCTTTTTTGATTTTATTATTTGAAATGGCATAACTACAATATATTCTAAGGCTTTCTAAAGAAGTTTTAGCTTTCTTGAGCAAAAGATGGCTGAAAAAAGCTCTTAGAAACGAGCGGACGGACGGACAGACATTGCTCTTATCTATAGATATTAAATTAGACTAAAAGTTTGCATACTAGGGCTTTCGAGGGTGGGGAATCCGAAATCGGCGTTAGTTTTGATCTACAGTAACTCAAATACTTGAAATAGACCTGCGTTTCGAGTATTTTGAGGAGTCCTCAACTTCGACATAAAAAAACCCTTTTTCCTATTGTTAAATGTGTTTTATTATTTTTTACATCATTATTTTTAGTCTGGTTCTCTTGCCCAAAGCCGACCAACAAAGCTTTTTTCGAATCTGATGTTCCGATATTCAAGAATCATCACGAAAAGACCCGTTCAATTCGTCATTATGAGCGTGACAGCTATGTTCTTTGCATTCAGGTGAACTTTTATTTACATTTTGATGGTGAGGGGATTGAACCCTCGACCTTTGGCTTTCTGGGCTCTAATGGCTTAGGCTTAGGCTCAGGCTCAGGCTCAGGCTCAGGGTTAGGCTTAGGCTTAGGCTCAGGCTTAGGCTTAGGCTTAGGAATTTGAGCCTAATCAAACATTTTCAACTTGTCTTTTTCTACCTTAGCATCGTAAAGTTTCAATCTTTTATCTTTATTGAGTGATTCAAAACAGAACCTGTAACTTATTTAACAATTTTTTTTGATTATGATCTTCGTTTCAGTGTTTATGGAGCCTTCTCAATGACTACTCAAATCAACTCGACTCGAATCATTCCCAGCGATTCACCATTACAAAAAGCTGATGGCTTGTTGAGGAAATACATTTGGGCGGTAGAATAGGAGAAGAAATGCAAAATTTATTGAAAAATTTCAGGAATTTGAGCCAGCTCTCGTTTATGTGAACTCACCGCCAAATATTGCCGACGAGAAAGGATATCACGCCTTCAAAACGATGGTTGAAGAGTTCGAGGCACTGCCGAGATGCATTGGGGCAAATGCGACGATGCTTTGGTTGAACGATTATGAATTGGTGAGTTTTTGAGAACTACAGTACTGGACAATGAAATAAAAATATAATTGGGAGAGCATAAAGAGAGTATGAATAGAGTAGTTTCAACTAAAGTTACACAGCGAAGAGGAAGATAAAAGCGATGAAAGATAGAAAGATAAACTTATGAAGCTTGTGGATTTTTGTGGAGACGGATTTTGAACTTTAAATATACTTTAAAAGCTATATCTTACTGAAATACAGTGACTGGACAATGAAATATGATATTTGAAAAACGATCATCACTTTCGCGCGTCTGTAGCTCCCTTGTCTTTGAGTTAAAACTATTAGTGTTATACATTTTCTGAAAGCTCTTTTCAAGGGCTACACAATGGTAATAATAATATTTAGAAATACGGTAAAGACAAGGGAGTTACAGACGCTCGAAAGTGACGATCTTTTTTCAAATATGATATTTCATTGTCCAGTAGTGTATATATACACTGTTATTTTGGTGGAAAGACTAATTGTAATAAAGAAGTGAGAGAATTCGTAGGGAAAAGTAGATAAAAGCTGGAGAGGGGATTGAACCCTCGACCTTTGCCTTTCCAGGCTCTAATTGATCTAACCACTGAGCTATTCGGTACTTTAACTGGCCAAGAGAAAGAAGGGTAAGTCTAATAAAATTCTAGGCGATGAGCAAGGTTGCTGAACTTTTCTCAACATTGGGACTCAAATACTTTCTCGACTATCAAGAGTTGCCATATTTCATGAAAGAGATCGGCGGAGCGTGGAATTCGTCAGTGAAATGGCACCTAAAAAAGTTCGTTTACCTCTTGAACTTGCTAAAATTTGACTTTCATTAGAAAAACTACATGTTTGTCAAAGAATTTCCAATGAAAACTACATGATTTTCAATCAATTTCCAATCAATTTCCAGTGCTTTCCCAGTGGTTGATGCTTTTGTTTTCTACATCGGTTTTCACAATGCGACTACCTGGAATCAAAGAGCTGAAAATATGAATAAGTAAGAGACAAAAATGGACTGAAATATTCAAATTTCTCTAAGAAATTGTATTGTATGTAAGAATTATATTATAGAATTATATTAGAATTATAATAGTGATTGTAAATTGTAAGAAATTGTTCTATAGCTCGATGAAATTTGTTTCTTTTTTAGCTGGAGAGCCGTAGCTGATCGCTGGAAGCAATTCAATGTGACTGTCTTCTCAGAAAACTCGGCTGTTTATGATGGGATATTCAGTGAGTTTCAAAGCTTGAAAACTAAAGACAAAGAAGAGTCTTTGAATTTGGTCCAAGAAGATTCTTTGAATTTCTGATCCTTTCGACTCCTTGTCGGGAATGGGGCTTACAGATCGGGGAAAAAGGGGAATTGTGCAGCTGGGAGACTGGTGGGGGTGACAGTCAACACTGTCGTCCCCACTGAAAGAATTTTTACCAAGAGATTTGTTCTAGATATGGGTCCAACCACCTATCAAACAGCGGCTTTCACCCTTGCTAGTATGGTGATCGTTTGTCTTTTCTTTGTCCCATCATTCATTGGAGTCTGTTCTGCGGCGTTTGCTATTTCGAGCATAAGTATTGGTAAGTGAAAATAGCACAAGAAAAGCTAACAATATTGTTAGCAAGTTGTTAGCAAGTTGTTAGCAAATTGTTAACAAATTGTTAGCCAATTGTTAACAAATTGTTAACAAATTGTTAACAAATTGCTTCTTTTCAATTTTTAACTGATGACAGACGTTTAATCTCGAATTTCAGGCGTTTTCGGTGGACTTTCATGGCTGGGTTTTGATCTGGATCCGATCACAATGGTGGGTTACTGTACTGATCATTGTATGGTTACTGTGCTGATCATTGTATGGTTATTGTACTGATCATTGTATGGTTACTGTCCCCAGCAAAATATCTTATGAAATCCAGCTTCAAATCAATAATCTCTTTCAGGTGGCCATCGTGATGTCGATCGGGTTTTCCGTTGACTACACAGCTCATATCTGCTATCATTTTCATAGAGCACACTCAACGTTGCCACCGTGAGTTTTTTATGGAAACAAGACTTGTTTTTTTTGTGCCAAGAATGGTATAAAAATACCGACTGGGGCTACCAGTGGTGAATTTATCGCATACACGAAATATATCAATCACAATACAACGACACACACAATACTAGGCTATATCTTAACTTAACCCACGTCATGACAGACGGCTCCCTAACCCTAAGCTCAATGGGGAACTAAATAGCTTTTTTGGTGGTGAAGGGAAGATGACGATGAAGGAGTGGCTTGTCACTTTAAAGAACTGGGGCCACAACCACCAGACTGCCCTCCAGAAAACCTCTCAACCCGAAGGGAAAGGAAATCCGAAGGGGGTGACCATGTCGCATGTGGGGTTCGAACCCTCGACCTTCCCCGATTAAGATAAAAGACACTTAACCAGTCAGCCACACGTGCTCCGGTATGACTAAAAAAGAGGATAAAGAAACGTCTGGTTAGAATTTGATAGGGAAGATTTACCTTTGATAGGCAAGATTTATTAACTTTAAGAAAGTGGGACAAATGCGACTTTTTTCGCTAGAAAGGCTTTGGAAAGCTTCAAAAATGCTTCAAAAAGCTTCAAAAAGCTTCAAAAATGCTTCAAAATGCTTCAAAAAGCTTCAAAATGCTCCAAAAAGCTTCAAAATGCCTCAAAAAGCTTCAAAAAGCTTCAAAAAGCTTCAAAATGCTTCAAAATGCTTCAAAAAGCTTCAAAAAATGTTTCCATAGCAGGGAATCGTATGCGTAGATTCCGAATTTCAACAAATTTGGCTCGTTGGCACGTCAAATTTAGGCTAAAAGACAACTTGAAGCTTTCCTCGCTCGCTTTTCCACAGTTTTTACCTTTTAGCCCAAATTTGATATGGAACCGAGGTCTGATTTGTCGAAATTCGAAATCTACGCATACGATTTCCTTCTATGAAAGCATTTTTGATGCTTTACGGCTTTTTCTAAAGCCTTTTCCAGCGAAAAAAAGCTCGCATTTGTTCCACCACCAACTTTAACCTAATACAGTGAAAGATTAGACCTAGGACTTGACTCTATAGCTTGTAAATAAGCAAGCTGCGTAGCTTGGAGGCTATTCTCTAAAACTTTGCCAATTTTAGTCGATCACTCCCAGCTGACTATGTCTATTCGGCGATCAATTCGGTGGGGATTCCGATGTTGCAAGCAGCCGCCTCAACAGTCATTTGCTTCATCCCGGTCACCGTTCATCCCGATTACACCCCGGAGGTAATCAAGAATGAGTCAGCAATGTAATAAGTAAAGAATAAGACCCTATTCTGACGGCAATGAGATACGTGTCGATGTCGGCTATTGGTAGAGTGTTCGCCTGGTAAGCCCGGTAAGCCCGTTAGGGTTCAAATCCCGGCGTCGACCCGGCGAGCGTTTTGTATTCCCAGCCTAAACCTATAAAAGGAGCAACGTGTCCAACTAATCTAAGGCTTCTTGTGCACTAATTATCGCACAACTCACAATAAAACAATAAAACAATAAAACAATGTCTAGGTGTTTGTGACAACGATCATTGTGGTCGTTTTACTGGGTTTATTGCACGGATTCGTCATTCTTCCATCAATGTTGGCGCTGATACCAAATCATTTCTTCGACTCAAGTGAGTTAGCGCCAAAACCGTGCTGGTTTTGTGTCAGATTTGTGTCAAAAAAAGTGTCAGACCACTTGATATTCAAATTTTTCTTGTTCTGACTGATTTTAACTGGTTCTTTCTTTAACCAAAAGCCAAATCAAGAGCCGAACGGCTCAACCCTGCATCGGCGCAGAGTCTGGCTGTTTTTACGCCTGCTTTTTGGTATTAGGTTGATAATAGAATGGAAATAGAAGAATAGAATGATAATAGAAGAACAGAATTATAATAGAAGAGTAGAATGGAAGATCAAGAGCCTAAGCCTGAGCTTAAGCCTGAGCCTAAGCCTGAGCCTGAGCCAAACGGCTCAACCCTGCATCGGAGCAGAGTCTAACTCTTTTCTCGCCTGCTTTTTGGTGCTAAGTTGATAATAGAATGATAATAGAAGAATAGAATGATAATAAAAGAAAAGAATGAAAATATGAGAAAAATAGAATAGAATATATAGAATATAATAGAATTCTAAATAATTTGAATAATAGAACAAAGTGTTCTTGCATTTTTGGATTCGTTTTGAAGAAATTCGAGTTCAAATCTGTGCAAAGCCTTCTTGCCAATCGATTTTTGGCAAATTCTTGTTCAAGAAAAGTAGATCTAAGAGTTTAAACATTAAAAATTCAACTTTTAAGATTTAAACATTAAAATAAACCTTTTCGCTTTCGCAAAACTTTAAGCTTTCGTTTCAGATCCAGAAACCCGTCGAAACACGGTTCCAATGGTTGAAGAGAAAGATGACTCAAATATCATTGTCAATTCGCCAAACAAAACGGGAGTCCCTTTACTGCCAGAAATTTAGCATTCATTTCTTTCTTTCTTTTATAGTTTTCTCATTTTACTGGTTTTATTTCTAGTCAATGATCGTATTTTGTAGAAAGGCCTTATTTTCGTATTTATTGGGTTGTCCAGTTATGAATGCGCGTTTTTTACTATTTTGTAAATTTCTCAAGATACCGAAATCAAGAAAAAGATTTATATGAGTATTATTCGAAAGCTGAAGATCTCCTCTACATTTTGATATAAAAAGCTTTTGAATTTGTCGAGGTTTTGGGCAAATTGACTGCACAGAAGAAGAGGTGGCCAAAAAATGGAAGGATGTCTTTGGATCAAGTTTTGGCTCCGCTCAAATTGAGTTAACCGTTTGATGTTTGGCCAATAGATATATCAATATAACTTTTTTTTAAATATACCAATTTCAGAGCATCTTTATTTCTCTTTTCTTTTTTGGGCGGCTATTTTACACCATAAAACTTGAGGAATAGCTAAGCTGGAATGGGTTTTTTTTCGAAAATCACCTCTCCCTTTGTGCAACCAATTTGCCCAAAAGCTGAACAAATTCCAAAGTTTTTTATATCAAAATGTAGAGGAGATCTTCAGCTTTCGAATGGTATATAACACTCATCAACATCTGTTCGATATCTTGAGAAATTTAGAAAATAGTAAAAACGCGCATTCATAACTGGACAACCCAATAGTTGTCCTTTTCATAGTATTTCCTTGTGCATTTATCGGCTTTCTCTTCGCAATTTGTGATCTGATCTCAGGTGCGTTTTGTTTTTTCATTCTTTTAGCCTTATTTTCTCCACATTCCCAACTGTATTTAGATAATTATTTGAAAGAAATCGGTAAATGGATGGAGTTATTTGGAATTTTTGGAGTTTTTGGAGTTTTTGGAGCTTTTGGAATTTTTGGAATTAGTTTCTGAAACCAGAACAAAAGCTATGGGAGCTAGTTATGAGAGCTGGTTATGGGAGCTGGTTATGGGGGCTAGCTATGGGGGCTAGTTATGGGAGGTAGTTATGGGAGGTAGTTATGAGAGGTAGTTATGGGAGCTAGTTATGGGAGCTAGTTATGAGAGCTAGCTGTGAGAGCTAGCTGTGAGAGCTAGCTATGGGAGCTAGTTATGAGAGCTAGTTATGAGAGTTAGTTATGAGAGCTAGTTATGGGAGCTAGCTGTGAGAGCTAGCTGTGGGAGCTAGTTATGGGTAGACTTTGAGCTCAATTCTTTCCTCGAAACACACCCTTTCTGGCGCAATGAATTCCCATTTTTCCTACAGTAACAAGCGCAAAAATGAAGAAACAAATGCACGAGAGGGCGAGAGGGAAAAAAAAGCAAAGGGCGTTTACAAACTTTCAGCAATTTCAGCAAGATAAAAGGCAATGAATACCCTGAATGCCTACTCATTTGAATACTTGAAAACTACTCATTTGAATACTTGAATCCCACCAATGCCTACTCAAACGTCCATAATTTGATCTATCATTTGAATTAGCTTTAAAAAGAAATCCAATTTTCTATCAATTCTATCAATTCGATCAATTCGATCAATTCTACCAATTCTATCAATCCCATCAATCCCATCAATTCCTTAATTTCTTTCCCATTTTCTTTTCTATAAACGGGCCTTATAAGTTTCCTTTGCTCAAATCAAGTATCGCTTTCCCTAGACACAAAATTTTCACTTTTTCACTTTTTTCATCAATCTAAACGAATGATTTGCTCTGTAATGATTGGTATTTCAATAAATTTTTATGTTATGTTATCAAAATGTTATCAATCTTTAATTTAACACCATTTGGGAGTCGAAAAATCCAGAAAATCGGCAAGAAAAGTTATCAAAGAGAAAAGATTTAAAGGATTCTCGATGACTAACTTTCGAGTGAGATAATGATGGCATTTGATAGAGAAAAAGGCACAAAATTGCATAATTACATAATTATTATTTCCCTAAAAAGCTGAGATTATTCATTGATACACATTCTTGAACCGAGGCCGCTTTCTCGCGGCCCAAAATCTTCTCGGCTACTTCTCGATGTAGTAAACGTTTTGAGCGATACCGAAGAGCCGAGCCATCACTTGGAATTGACTTAAACTGTGATTAGATTAGATACTGTGATTAGATATTACAGTGAAGATAAGTTATAGTACTTTCAGTTACAGTACTTACAGTACAGTACAAGTTACAGTACTTACAGCACTTAGATAAGGTAGTTACGGTACTTGCACTTTTAGAAGCAAGTATTAAAGTCATCTCTCTGGATACTACCGTAGCCAAAGTACCAGACTGATCAATCTGCACAGTAAACGGTAAAATTAATTGGTTTTAGATTCAATTGACTTTAGATTCAATTGGTTTTAGATTCAATTGGCTTTAGATTCAATTGGCTTTAGTGGCTTTAGGCTTTAGATTGGCTTTAGATTCAAACTTTGGCCTAATTGGCTTTAGATTCGAACTTTGAAACTGTTAAAATGCTTACAAAACTAAATCATGAGCAGTTTAATCAAAAATTATCTATAGACCAAGGCCCGTAGCCAGGATTTTGGTGTGTTTGGGAGGGGCAGAGGTTTTAGACCCTTAGCCATTATCCAGGAAACTTGTGCCAAACGCCAAACTTCTGCCAACTGCCAAAGATTCCCCGTGTCAGTTTACATAGAACAAGTGAACTAAAATCCGATTTAAAGCTTGTTGAGTGGCGCTCAAAGTTGGGCGGAGTCACAAAACTTGAGTTTGACAACCCAACTTTGAGCTTGTTCTTCAAGTGAAAGTGTTCAGTGTTCTTCAGGTGTGAAAGTAAATGCGGTCAATTGGACTTGCTAAAGAAGGAGGTTGTTCTGTGGGCATTAAAATTTCTCTAAATCCCCACCTGTAACAGATAATTAATATTCTCGGCCAGGTCACCGTTGAACGAGCCGACAGCCGCCAAAAGGGTATTCGAGAGCTCATCGAGAGCTCATCGCGTGTGAGATTCGCCTTGCAGAAGCCCTAAAGCTGTCTTAAAAGGCTTGGAGATCTTGTAAAAGAGTAACTTTTACCAGTTTTGACACCAAAATCGTCTGACAATGAGCTAGAGCTTTAGACTAGAGCTTTAGACTAGAGCTGGCATCTGTTCCGTGCTATACAAGCTAAAGCTACAAAACATTTAAAGCATAAGCATAAGCATAAGCATTTAAAGCTACAAAACCGAATTTTTAGCTCACTTCTTCTATGTAAACAGACAGAGAATCTTTTGGCGGCGGTTAGAAGTTTCAAAGGTTAGAAGTAATCCCTAACCAGTTTAGATCTAGATCTAGATCGACAATCGACATACATTTCTTGTATTATTTCTTTTTCTTTCCCTTTCTTTTGCTACAAATATATGTGTGAAAAAGTAATTCACCTTTTTTATTTTTATCTGATGACCAAATAAGACGCTGTCTTCTCGAAAACCCTCGTTCAACCTCTTCAGAAATAGGCCTTACATTAAATTGTGATGGGTCAACCGTAAAGAAACGCTTGAATGCCGTGAATTTTATCAAAAAGTTGGACAAATGGATACCGCATGAACGATAACGCGCAACCACATGTCCTCTTTACAGACTCGACAAAAAATCCAGAGTGTTGGATGGGATGTTTTACCACATCCACCTTTAAGTCCAGACCTTTCTCCATCTGATTATTATTTATTTTTGTCTCTGTCTAACTTTTTGGCCAATAAACGGTTCAATTCCGAAGAAGATGTCAAAACCGAGGTCTTCTCTTCTTTTCTCATCTTTTCTTCGCCTCTAAGGACCAAAATTTTTATTATCGTGGGATGTCTTTATTTGTAGAACGTTGGCAAAAGGTTGTTCTTTCGAATGGTGATTACTTCGTTGAATAAAAATTATTTTAACGAAACTTATGGTCTTTTATATTTAAACGTTAAAAACGTCGATTACTTACACACCTAATACAAAACATTTAAAGCATAAAAGCATTTAAAGCTATAAAACCGAATTTTTAGCTCACTTGTTCTATGTAAACAGACGCTGAGAATCTTTTGGCGGCGGGTAGGAGTTTCAAAGGTTAGAAGTACTCTTTAACCAGTCTAGATCGACAATCGACATACATTTCTTGTATTATTTGTTTTCTTTCCCTTTCTTTTACTTTCTTTTACTATATATTTCTACCTCCTCTCAAGAAGTTTTCATTTTTTAAGCACAAAAAAGAAATCAATCAATTTATTTAAACTTTTACACAATTACAAAAAGGTTTTGCGTATAAATTGAATATTAATTCTTTTTGTAAAATTATGAACACAAATTACGGCAAGAATAAGGAAGAATAAGGAAATAAAAATCTCCTTATTCTTCTTGGTGTTTCTGAACGCCAAACGACTTCTTCATTCCACGATGAACTTTCTCGTTGTCTTTTTCTTTCGGAAGCTGAAAAATTCGACTTAAAAATAGGTTCAATTTTGATTTTTGCAAGAAATGAGAATGAAAATGAGCAAAAAAAGAAAACAAACCACTGGATCATCCTGTAACAATTTGGTCTTCTTGCCTAAAAGAAGAGATTTGTTTTGAAATTTCAGAGATGCTTACAATGGCTTAGGCTTAGGCTTAGGTTCAGGCTTAGGCTCAGGCTTAGGCTTAGGCTTAGGCTTAGGGATTTGAGCCTAATCAAACATTTTCAACTTGTCTTTTTCTACCTTAGCATCGTAAAGTTTCAATCTTTTATCTTTATTGAGTTCAGGCTTGGGTTCAGGCTTAGGCTTAGGCTGTGGCTCAGGCTCAGGCTTAGGCTTAGGCTGTGGCTCAGGCTCAGGCTTAGGCTCAGGTTTAGACTTAGGCTTAGGCTTCGGCTTAGGCTCAGGCTTAGGCTCAGGCTGTGGCTCAGGCTCAGGCTTAGGCTCAGGCTGTGGCTCAGGCTTAGGCTTAGGCTTAGACCGCAGTTCCTACAAGGAAATGACCTCAAAAACAGTTTTTAAAAAACAAAAACGTAGGAAAATTGGTCAAAATTTATATACAAAGCCATTGTAGTAGTCTTTATTTATCAAAAGCAAAAAAAAACAAAAGAGGGAGCTATAGGGATCGAACGCTGGAGTGCCCGTTTTTTTATTCTGTCACACAATCAATTAACCACCGAAGTGAATCTCCACGAGCGTCAAAGAGATCAAAAAAAACTTGCAAGCCAAATATCTCTCGTTTCCAAGACCTGTAAAATTCTGGAGATCACGAATCTGTAACAAGAAGTAGTGTAAAGATTTTTACAGATTCGTGATCTCCTGGATCTCCTGGATCTCCTGGATGTCCTGGATCTCCTGGATGTCCTGGATCTCCTGGATCTCCTGGATCTCCTGGATCTCCTGGATCGACTCTATAAGATCCACGAGCTTGCTAAGCGTCCGTAATGAGGTCATTCCCTTGTGAATAGTATTCTAGCAAAAGGAGTTACGCAAAAACATTAGTATTTAAATTTTGAAGCTGCTCTTTTACTATGAATTAACCCACCACCGGCCTTCTTATCTTCCTTCCTCAACTCGGCCAGCTTCTCCTCGCGTTTCTGCTCCATTTTTATTGCGTTTCTGAAATCAATCAGTAGAGGCTAAAGCTTTAAAAGTGCATTATTGCAAAACTCTTTGAATAAAGGAAGTTAAACTCGAGTTTCCAAACGAAATAAACTGAAAAACAAAATAAAAATGGTACTTTTAAATAAAGGGGAACTCATTGTAAACCGAAATATTTCCTCGTCTTATAAATGAGACAAAGCAAACAAAACCCTCATCAGAATGCACTTCTTTAACCACTGTTTTCCTGAAAAATTCTCTCTCTTTTCCCCTCACATCCTTTTGTTGTGCTGCCCTTTTTGTCCAGGCTAAAAGGGCAGCACAACACCTTATTTTTCCCTTTCTCCACGTTGATCTTGTGAAATCTGGCTTTGATGGTAATAGAGTTTTACTTAAAGAAAGTTAAAGCTTTCCCCTTAATTAGGGGCTCTCAAGGGCCTTTAGATAAAGACCCTCCCCCTTAATAATCTTGGTTTAAACTCACTTTTGCCTTTTCTGAAAAAAGTCACGGTAACCACTGAATGATTTGCGTGCCTATAGGGGATTTCTGGAAAAAGTTTTTGAACAGATCCGGCCCTACAGATCACTTCCCTTTTAAATGGGTGCTTCTTTTATGGCCGGTTCTTGGTTCTTGGTTACGGCAATGAGAACTGTATCAAAAAAAAGTGATTGGGTTTTCAGTTGTACACAAGAGTGAAGTAAACCAACAAAAGTATGATGGCCAAGACTATCTTTACGAGCTTTTGCTAAAGTTTTTAGCTTTTGATTAACATCAGCTTTTGATTAACATCAGCTTTTGATTAATATCAGCTTTTGATTAACATCAGCTTTTGATTAATATCAGCTTTTGATTAACATCAAAAACTGAACACCCGTCCTGCTTAAAAACAAACTGCGAACAACAAGAACAACAAGAACAACCAGTACAACAAGAACAACAAGAACAACAAGAACAACCAGTACAACAAGAACAACAAGAACAACAAGAACAACAACTCTTTCACTTCAGCGTAACATTGTTGTAAGTATTTAGACATATATAATACTTCTATTAATGTATTATATATTTATAATGCTTCTCTGGGAACTGATCACCGTCGACTACATTGCACATCTTCTAAACCACAAGATGAACGTGTGCCAAGGGTAGAAGACCCGTCAACAATGTCCCCCCGCCTCAGAAACAGCTTCAGACGACAGATCACCACCACTCAAGAAGTCTTCTTCTTGATTCAAGCTTTACCATTGCATAAAAAGGAATTTGTGATTAATGTGCGTACCAGCGATTTTAAAAATAAACAAATTTCGATAAAACTTTATTAAAAAATGAAAGTGACTATAAGTAAAAGCTCTAGTGGATATAAGTAAAAGCATTGAAGTGGCGCCAGTCCATCTCTTTTCTCAACTGCATGGAGTTAAAATAGTTTAAATTGTTGGACTGATATTAGAAAAAATCATTTTTTTTTTTTTTGAAAAATCAAAGTAGAAAATAGCTCAAATCGACCTAGTGCCTCAGAAACCTTCTATTACCTATAAAAACTGATTTTTACTTACATTTACTAGGGAAAGGCAAGCACTTGCCGTGGCCTTTTGCAACAAGACCAAACCCATCTTATAGAATCGATCCCGCTGTGTTCGAATCTGCTTTTAGTTTTTGATCTCGAGGTCGGTAACGCAAGATATCTGGCTTTGGTTTTGGTTGCATTTTTGATTTCTATTTGAGGCCTCCACGTCATCCCATCAGGTGCTCTCGAGGGGATGCTCTCGGTTCAGTTACCTTGATTCGATTTCCCTCATGTCAAACTTTTTTGTTGCACTTTCCCCTCGACTACGCAGCCATATCTTATGGGATGACGTGAAGGCCTCAAATAGAGATCAAAATACAACCAAAACTTGTAAGCCAGATATCTAGCGTTACAGGCCTCGAGATCAAAAACTAAAAGCAGATTCGAACTCAGCGGGATCGATTCTATAAGATGGGTTTGGTCTTGTTCCAAAAGGCCACGGCGAGTGCTTGCCTTTCCCTACTTAGTGGTGTACTCGAAAGTTAGTGGAAAAAAAAGTTCAAAAACTTTCCATCGAGGAACAGTTTGAGTACAAGATTGGGACGTTGTTTAGTGTTAGATTAAAGTTTTGAGCTAATTTACATCATGTATGGCTGTTCTGGAAGTCACTCTAGCCCCTCACATTCTTCTTAACTCCTTCACCCTCAAAACGAACTAAATTTAAATGCTAATTTGATGTTATTGATAATTCAGGCTTGTCAAAAAATAAAATTTCATAATTCGAACATAATTTTGCGCATTTTCGTTGGATTTCACGTTTTTATAGCCATCATTGTTTCAAGAACTGAAATAAAAACGAAAGAAACAATTAAACAACAACATCATTAATGTTTTTGGACTTGGGCATGTGCAAAAGCTTCTTTGGTTTTTTAAAATAAAAGTTTGAATTCTCAACAAATCTCCATCATAACAGGGGCAAACAAGTCCACCGAGGGATCCAAATTAATTCCAAAATGATCCAAAATGAAAACCCTCTCTTCGGTTCCATTGAAGCCGATCGGTCGGAGGAGTTTCCTCTGTTCTTCCTCTTCTCTTGGCTCAAATGTGAGTTGTGAAATGAATAAATCACTCTAAACTCAGGGAAAATATTGCAAAATTCAACGTCAAATCTAACAGAAAGTATTGCTTGCAAATCCTCTAGAACCACATAGGCTGTTGGTCGTTCGTTTCGAGCAAAACGTGTACAGCTGAATGGGGATTTCATTGTAAATTAGAAATTGTTCCCACTTTTCTATAAGTTCTTGCACGTTCGCTTGACATCTACAAAGCAATGCTTCTTTGAGTTTCTTCGAGTTGATGTCATGAGAAAAGAGATCCCGGTTAAAATAACCATCTCGCTCGTTGTACCCAGCAAGAACGACTCTAAATTGAATTTTTGACATTTTGTACATTTGTGCAACGAAAGTGATAGTTTTTTGAAACCGACCTCCTCTCGACGATCTCCCACAAAACAAGTCCCAGACTGTAGACATCATTTTTGTGAGAGTGCTGTAAAAACCAGCATTCATTGTGTTTACCATTTCTCCACTCACTTGAATACTTTGTTTACTCGGATCCGAAATTTCCTGGCTCTCGTCAATCTGTAGTGGGCTCATGTAGCGGTGGGTTCCCACGAAGCTCCCCGAAAACGTGTGATCAATATATTTGGCCGCTCCCAAATCGCCGATCTTCAAAAAATACTCATCTGTCACCAAGATGCTGAACATTTATTATGTTTATGTCTTCGCTTTTATTCTACTTTTCCGGTTTCAAGTCTCGATGAACGATCTTGTGCTCTTGGTACATGTAATCGAGAGCATCAAAGAGTTGTCTTGCCCAAACGAGCACCGTACACATCGTGTAAATAATATTCGCATCAAAAATAACTAAAAACTAAAAATAACTAAAATTTTAGATGTCATTATGCACTTGTTTTTACGCCATTAAATACCACTACGATATCGATACCCCTACGAGGGAACTGGCGTCTGGGAGGTGACCCACCAGTGTCCCACAGTGACCCAAAACCTGATAAAGTTGAAAAGACTCTACAAAAGTATGATTTTCTCATAAACCAAAAGAGTTGACAGTTTTCTCGTTTAGATATTTAACACATTGGCGACGGCGTGGGCCACCGGTGAGCCCCGAGTGGACTGGCGTCTGGCAGGTGGCCCACCAGTGTCCCACAGTCACCCAAAAACTGATAAAGTTGAAAAGACACTATTTAGGGTTTTCAAAGATGGAGAATTCAAAGCTTGAGATAGTTTTGAATAAAAGATTGGTTTGACAGGTCAAAACTCAATCCTCAACTCAAGTGTTTGGCTGAAAATCTTAGTTGACATGTTAGCTCTGATATGACACCATGATGCTAGTAGAAAGTTTCAATTTTATAGAGAGCCATATGGTGGCGGCAGCCATGGTGACTCAGAAATTTCAAGTAAAGAAAGTCATGAAATCGGGAAAAAGTGAAAAAGTGAAAAACTATCAAAAGTTTGCTCTCCAAAAACATTCACTTTGACACCGCAAAAACCACCAGAAGCCACTAGAAATTTTGAGAGAAATCGAGCTGAACTGATTTTTTTTTTGGAACACCCTGTTTATATGTCGTAACCGATTATGAATTTCAGCCAATTATGAATGAGTGGATCTAGGCGCGTCCAGCCATCAAGTGCTTGATATCATTCAACGCAAAATCATTGATAATTATGTTAAATTTTTAAAATTAGCAAGATTTGATAAAAAGAAAAAAAATTACGGGACTTCAAAGTTTTCTCTCGAACAAACAGTCTTTTTTGCTCTAGTTTTTTTCTTTTCATCAAATCTTGCTAATTTTCAAAATTTAACATAATTATCAATGATTCTGCGTTGAATGATACCAAGCACTTGATGATTGGACGCCCCTAGACCCACTCATTCATAATCGGCTACGGGATCCCGCCATTTTTTGAATGAAACGTTGTAGCGCCCGCAATTTTTAACCTAGACTCACTAATTTGGTACCAATTTTAATTTAATTCGCTACAAAATTATATAATACTGTCTTCATACATTAAAGGGTTACTCCATCAGAAGGGTTTGCCAAAAAAATAGAATTCATAATCGGCTACGACATATATTAGCTTGGTAAATATGAAAGGTTATTTTTTTTGTCCTTCTGTTGCGGGGATGTTTGGGAGGGGAGTCCGGTCTTTCTTTTCAACTAGAGCCAATTTTTGCACAATAGAGAAAGATCTGTCTGATATCAAATCTGGCTAAGCGAGCCGACCTTTTGTCCATTCGTAAAGTTTGTAAAGAGAATTGAAAACAAAAAAGTTTATTTAAACAAAAGGTCGGCTCGCTTAGCCAGATACGGAATGGGCTCCCGCTCTATCCGGCTGAGCGGGAGCCCATTCCGTATAGTCGAACGTTGACCCATTCTAATCAAATCTTTATTCTAATCGAATCTTCATCCTAATCTTACAATGCTAACGTTTATCTAATGCTTTTCATTCAATTTTGATTGATTGGTTTAATATTGAAGTAATAAGTAAGACAATAAGTGTCATAGTGTGATATCAAAGCATTTGAAAGCAAGCTTTCTTTCAGTTCAATCAATTCATCGGTCAATTGGGTGGTTTGCTCGGCGTTTTAATGGGTGTCAGCTGTATCACTTTCATCGAATTCGCCATTCTCATCGCTTACATTGGTCATATTTGTTGTTTTGCTAAGAAGAAAAAGTGATTTTAGATATTGATTATCGTTAAAATTTTGTATAAAGTTTAAAACAAAACAGTTTTAGTTTAAAACAAGATTTATTTTCAAGATTTAACCAAAACTTGTACAGAAAATGACTCAAAATGGATAAAAAACAGTAAAAAAATGATATGGTGATTCTCGGAAATGATTAGAATCAAGGTAAACCAAGGTAAACCAAGGTAAACAAAAGGATAAAACAAAAAATGGAAGAAAATAAGACGGAATTCGTTTCTCTCAGCATTTTTAGCACCAAAACTACAGTAATCAAGCCATTCGTTTACATTTAATCAGCTTAATTTTCATTTCATAGTGAACTAGTGATCTAGTGAACTAGAACTAGTGATCTAGTGATCTAGTGATCTAGTGACCTAGAACTAGTGAACTAGTGAACTAGAACTAGTGATCTAGTGAACTAGAACTAGTGATCTAGTGATCTAGTGATCTAGTGACCTAGAACTAGTGATCTAGTGAACTAGAACTAGTGATCTAGTGAACTAGAACTAGTGATCTAGTGACCTAGAACTAGTGATCTAGTGATCTAGTGATCTAGTGAACTAGAACTAGTGATCTAGTGATCTAGTGATCTAGTGACCTAGAACTAGTGATCTAGTGATCTAGTGATCTAGTGAACTAGAACTAGTGATCTAGTGATCTAGTGATCTAGTGACCTAGAACTAGTGATCTAGTGATCTAGTGACCTAGAACTAGTGAACTAGTGAACTAGTGAACTAGTGATCTAGTGAACTAGAACTAGAGATCTAGTGAACTAGAACTAGTGATCTAGTGATCTAGTGATCTAGTGACCTAGTGAACTAGAACTAGTGATCAAAATTAGTGATTTTCATCAAAAGACATTAAATTCGGCTATTGAACTTCACGGGATTACGGTAGTTTTCTAAAATAAGTGCTTTTTCGTAGCTTTTCGTAGATCAACGAAAAGAAACGCTAGTTATGACTGAGAAGTGAATTTTGGGTAGATACTAGACGCAAAACGACTAATTGCAAAACGCAAAACGCAACACGATCACTAATTGCACTAAATATTGCAAATTTCTCAAGAACAAACACTTATAAACAAAAAAAAAATATGCACAGAGTTTATAAAAGAAATGAAAAACGGGTAAAAACTTTTCGTTTATGACTAAATTTGAATAAGCCACTGAAATCGAGCCACTCAAATTTCTAACAGCAGAAATTTCCTCAAAAATCTAAACTATTGGCTTCTGGTGTACTGAATTTATTATAAGACTAAGGTAAAGCTATTCAGCTTTGTACTTTGTGCCTGAGAATGGAAACGGGTGCTTTACGGTAAACGATTAACGGTGGGGCGGGCGATTCTCGGGAGGGGGCGAATGTTAGTCAACTTGCAGCCCGATTTTAAATAGTTTTTTGTTAATAACTTTTGATGAGACAAATAGTTTCTGAAAGCTGACGTTCTAAGCTATCTAAATCTTGTTAAAATTTTCAGATCTGACAAGTTTAAGATGCTTAAAGATGAGCTGCAAGTTGGTCAAAAAACTTACCTCCCTCCCTCTTCCTTGCAAGTTGGCCAAGTTTTTGGTCAACTTGTAGCTCATTTTTAAGCACCTTAAACTTGTCCGATTAAGAAGTTTTAATAAGATTTAAATAGCTTAGAACGTCAGCTTTCAGAAACTATTTGTCTCATCAAAAGTTATCAACAAAAATCTATCTAAAATTGGACTGCAAAATCCCCCTCCCCGATAACCGTAAAGATCCGAAAAATTTAGTGCCCCGGGACGGATGAGTTTCCATTTCTGAGTACAAATTACACAAATACAAAATAATTTTTACGAAAAACGGTGCTTTTACGGACTTCTTCTTGAAATCTCTAAACAAACACGTAAACAATGACATTGAGATTAATCTGTGGGTGATGTTGTGTCATCAGTTGTGGAATCTTGATGAATTGATTCCTCGATCATCTCATCTTTCTCATCTCTTGACTGATTTGAGGAGACCGGCTTTGGACGCAAAAGGTTTCGTTCCTTTACCTGAAACAAGAGATTTATTATATTGCTCAAAATAGCTTGATTATTAGATTAAGCTCACGATTAATCACTTTAAATCTAGACTCTTTTAATACTAGAAAAGCTCAGGATTGTTCGAAACACAAGAATTTCGATTCAAAGAGGTTTAAAACCCTTCTAAACACTATGATCAGTGAAATGTTTTGGCTAAGACGCATATCACATAAAGTTATTAATTAGAAGAGTTTACAGGACTTAAAAAGGCATTGTTTTGTGTAGCTTTGCTATTAGAATAGCAATGGAGAGTTAGTACAGGGTTTTCAGCATTTACGGTCACTTCTTTTTGGTAGATTAGGTTACAAGCGCCAAGTTCAACCCTAATTTGTTAAATGTTGTATAAAATATTGAAGCCCATACTCTTGGCTACATTTATCTGTTAAAAGTTTCCCGATTCGAGATATACAACTCGTTTTACAAGCTCTTGAATGAGTACTAGTTGATCTCTCTGATCGTGCCGGAGAAGGATCAACTAGTACTCATTCAAGAGCTTGTAAAATGAGTTGTATATCTCGAATCGGGAAACTTTTAATAGATTATTGTAGCCAAGGTTAAGGGCTTCAATATTTTATATAACTTACTAGAGTTGAACTTAAAGCTTGAGAGCAAGAGGGATCAACTCGTTCAAGAGCTTGTAAAATGAGTTGTATATCTTCAATCGGGAAACTTTTAACTGATAAATGTAGCCAAGATTAAGCGCTTCAATACTTTATATAACACTTAATATATTAAGGTTGAAGTTGGCGTTTGGGAGTTAATCTACCAAAAAGAAGTCATAAGTCAAGATTGCGATTGACACGTTTTATAAAACTCTACGTAAGATGGTTCTCCTAAAACAAAGGGCTATGTTTAATTTGGCCACTTTTTTAAGCATTTGCTCTACTTGTTCTAAAATTTTCTGTGCATTGATAGCTATTTCATAATTGATTTGATTGATTTGATTGATTTGATTGGTTTGATTGATTTGATTGAGTTGATTGATTTGATTGATTTGATTGATTTGATTGATTTGATTGATTTGATTGATTTGATTGATTTGATTGATTTGATTGATTTGATTGATATTTTGCCCACCTT